CCGTATCTAACCCCAAACCCGGTCTACAGATAAGGCGGGGGCATATAACGTTACCGATACAATAGTACATCTTATATATATATATATATTTACACACACATTTTTATATAGCCATGTACATATAGAAAGAGAGAGAGAGAGAGTATGTGTACATATGTATGTATATATATATATATTCTAATATCCGCACTGTTGTACCTATATATCCAAACACAGACACGCATACATATATACACACATATATCTCTATCTATCTACTGTCTATCTACTGTCTATCTATCTATCTATCTATCTATCTATCCATATATATATATATATATCTAACGTGTGCATGCACACAATCACACACATACACAATAGATGCTCCCGGCTCCCAGGCCACCACACCAGGCCCCCCCCCCCCTGGTATCCCCAACCCCACCCCCTCCATGGTACCCCACGCCCGCCAGTGTGGGGGAGACGAAACTGCGCCACCAAGGCAACTAGGCCTGCTCAAGGAACCAAACATCACATAGAATAAGCCCCGGGGATGAAAATATTGGGAATCAGTAGGCCTGTCAGGAGTGGCGATAAAGCTGAAAAGCGGCTGGCTCTGCGCGTATTTGTGTTGGACATGGTTAGATGACCCAGATCCCGTTGTACAGACCTTTCCTTGGCTTGACGAAGGGTTGGATTGATTGGGGATGATTGAAGAGTTATTGACCAGCGGTTGATTCCACAAGAAGTTTAAATTATGGTGAGGGATTGAAAGTGCCGAGTGCCTATGATTGAGCCATGTTCGACCGTACAAAGGCGACTGGCAACGGGAGCTCAGACATTTTCCACTTCTTCCCCCCTGTTCTGCCTCTTCTGGTGAGCAGAAAACAAGTGGTCCATGGCAGTAGCAAGTTCAACTGAACATAGTAAGAAAGACGTGTCGCGGCGCACTTGCCTTGTCTCGTGATGTTCGAAGTCAATGCATTTGGCAATGAGCATGATGCAGACGGGGACCAAGAGACATTAACGCAACACCGAGAAGAGGATGGAAAGGAAGGAACAGGAAAGAGACTTGGAACAAACGGCAAGACCAAAGAAAATCTGCTTCAAAGGAAAGATAATGAACTGCAAAAGAAAGTCAAGAACGAAGGGCAGAGCAAACAAAGAACAGGATGACAAGCGGACAGTGGATCTCTGGACGCCTGGTCACGGATTGCAGCTAAGAGTTGTTCAGAATGAAGCCATACAGACTTGCTCTTCGCCACAGGATCAGAGTTCCAGTGCTTCCCCACGGTGGAAAGCTGCATATCGTCAAGAAGTGTGGGGTTGCTAAAGATGGTGATGGCATGATGTCGATGGAAGGGATCCATCAGAGTCTTCAGGCGGAGGAATGTGTCTACAAGAATGGACTGTTAGAGGAGACCATTGATCTCACTGAAAATCTCGAGCATGCCCTCGGGCCCTCGGGTGGATTGAATGCTGCTCGATTTGATCATCCCGACGAGACTACAGTTACAGGTGGACCTGCATCAGCGATTGCATTGAAGGCAGGCAATGCCGATATGGACTTTTTTTGCAGCCCCATCATGCCCCTCAGGAGTGAAGCCAGAAATGACGCCCTTGCAAGCTGTTCCTGCTGGATGTGCCTGCCGAAGTCATTGGCGAGTGCACTTTCGAACACCGGCACTTTGCCCCCGCATCGATGGAAGGCAAGCTAATTCACCTGCTAGGTCCAGAGGTAGCTACAGGCTTTCTGAGCTTTGTGCAATGTGTTGCGACATGTGGCCGAAACCGGCGGTGGGTTCTGACTTCAGCTAACATTGTCTCCGAACTACTTGGTTGGTGGAGTGGAATTCATGTGGTGATTTCTACATCCGTGCCCCAGCGGTGGTGAAGCAATCCAAGTGGTGAAATGCATGACAGCCAACACGACGATTGTAGGTCCCTCTCCGCTTCCAATCCTCAATCTTCTGTAGAAGCCGATTGGATTGCAGACATGTCACAAGGTGCATGCTCAGCTTGTCAACATGTGCCGAGCGAATCTTAAATCGTTCGTCATACCCTTTCGGAAAGAAAGCTTCGGGACACGCATGCCTGCTCTTGCAAGGGAAAAGCATTGAGCCGATGAGCAAAGCGTGCCCATTGGGCCCTCACCTTAGACCAGTACCATCAAGAGAGAGTCATTCGGCAGTCCCTGTCACTCCCACGTGCCTGGACCTTCTTGGCAGCCAGCGACCGTGCACCACTTCTGCTTTGACTCTTGAGCGCCCTCGTTGCTAGCTCAGCCATTCGTGGCCAGTTTTGCAGGATCGCCTCACCTTCCGCAACGGATCTTGTGTTCCTGCGCCGCACAATCAATTTGGGACGATGGCGGTAGAATAGCTGTGCACAGAATACTGATGTCCTGACGTCAACTAGCTCCAGCCTAGGTGCATGACTTGACTCACTGACCACTAATTCCGTTCCAAGAACGCCGTCACATGTGCTAGCAGGCAGCATTGCCACCAGTCGGGCCCAAGCTTGCACAACCCATTTCTCTCGTTCAGCCTGATCCTTGCTTATAACGACCACCAACCTGAGAGCAAGATGATCATGCCATGTCACACCGGTCAATGCACGCCATGCAATGCTTTCGCCGTTCTAAGATGTCCTCAGGAGAAAGCCGTGTCCATCCAGTTAATGCTCGGCGAAATCCGGCACTAGCAAGGAGCGCAGACTTGTACACCTCCTAAGTACGTCGGAAGTGCACTGGTGCGCCTGCGTTTTACCGTTCTGTAGTGTTCGGTCTAAGCAGCGATTATCTTTCGGTGATTCAGGAGAACGGCCAGTCGACCCCATCTCCACGTCTGCTGGGCCGTGCGATACGAGCTAGCAGCCTGTGGCATCCAAATGCACACGCTGCAGTGACCGGGTGATATGCAGCCTGTGGTTTCACCGACGGTGCGGACGAGGGACAATTTCTTTGGCTTCGACATCAAACTTGATAGACTGAAGTGCAGCACCAGCTACAACTGTTCTCAGTCTGGCAAGCCAGTCGATTGGTGGTCTCCACTGGCGCCAAATAATCATCGCCAGCAAACTCAGTCGACATGCTAGCAGTACCCTCGCTCGAGCTGGATCCCGACATGAAGCATTCACAGAAGACAACGTTATGATTGAAGAAATGAATGCTGGCCGCAGCACTGTGCCCAATTCTGCTCTGCCCCAGAAGCTCTAGACGAGCCTTAGCTACAGTACTGACCCTTGTGCGGTCCACCAGGCAACACAACAGTTAAACTGCTGCAGGCTAAACAACCTTTCGTTGACTCCAACTCGGCTCTCCTTGGGTCACGCAGTCCAGCTGCCCAGCTCACTGCAGCAACTAACTTCATTGCTTGCACTTGCATATCCACTCCATCTCATACACGTAGAGGCTCAAAGCCGCGGCGTCGCCTTCAGCTTCTTCCAGGCAATCCTTTGCACATCTATTCCCATGCCTGGTGGGGGAAGGTTTATGTCGCGATGCCCGACATGTCCTGCAGGATCTTGCAGTGGTTCAGAACTTTCTGCTTCTCCTGCAGGCCCAGGAAGCGCGGTCTGGCAGAGGAACAGAACGTGTTGGGGCTCGGCCTCTAGAAGGACTTCTCTCAGAAAGCCAAAGCCGAAGTCTTTGCCCTCGGGTGCAGAGTGGAGTGCTCAACGGCAGCGCAAATTTACCCTGGGGCCACTCAGGATCTTGCGAGTCCTTCGCGTCCACTTGCACCTGTGCTGCGAATCGAAATGGGTCGCGGTCGCATCAACAACCGAAGTTGCACCCACTGTGAGCCCGCCTTCCCCTTCCAAGGACTGTTCTGCGTCCTCGCGAACCTCGCGGGCGCAAGAGAGCGCGTTCAACAAGATTCCGGAGGTAGGTTCAGGCTTTTTTGCCCATGTCCAACCTATCGCATAGTCCACCTTCCCGCATGTCAGTTGACACTTGGTCTGGAAGCCGATACTGCAAGTCTCTTGAAGATTGATTTCGGTTCATGTCGTTCCTGCCGGCGAACGTGCTCTCCGCAGCGGCTCGTCCAACTCACGAATCGCTAATAAAGGCTTCCAGCTGGGAAAAAATCCTGAGCATCCTGACGCCCTCTAAGCTGCACATGTCAACTTACGGCATTCATCCCATCCTCATCGTCATCGGAGCGGATGATGCTCATGGTCAGAGAGCTCTTGGACACCTCCGGCAATCAAAACCCAAAGAGTCGCGAGTAAGGACCCGAAGGAGGATCTGAAGATATCGAAAGGCCCGGGGCTTGGGAGCGGATTCGACTCGCCTTGATGCTCCCGGCCATGTCTGGCAAGTTCGGAATTTGAGCGATCCAGGACTGGATGCTGTCGGGCAAGGAAGTCATGCAGCTCCTCAGCTTCTCCTGGGGAGGCAGTCCTACGGGCACTGAGGGCCCAACCGCATTAAAGTCGCCTCCACGGCTTCGCAGGAAACACTCGGAGGAGGCCAAATGTTGGCATCCACAACCAGGGGTTCTTCGCCCAAGCTTACCGCCACCTTGTCTGCAAGGTGGCAACAAAGGACTCTGCTGAAAAAGTGTTAGCCAGGACACATGCTCCATCCCGATGCCATGGCCGCTCGCTTCAGCCAATGCTCCACGGAGAGCTTTCTTGAGTGCCTGGGTCCACACTTCACTGGCCAGCAGGCTAGAATCTACGGCTAGAACTTGCACAAGCTTGCCGGCCTTCATAGTGGGCTTGCTTCGTGAGATGGCCTCGAAAGTTAACCCGCGCACCCTGAAGCTGATTGCCACGGCATCACCTTAGGATGCAATCTGTGCGGCCAGGAACCGTCCTTGAGGGTACGCTCTGTTCTGCAAAGGGGCCTGCCAGTGGTGATCGTGGCGGCTCCCTTCCCTTCGAAATTTGGCCAGCCATGGCTTGTCCTCCCTCGGATTCCCCTTCTAAACTCTGAGACGGTTATTGGCAGCATTTCTGATTTCTGACCCAGCAAGCCTTCAGACCGCAAGAGAACTGTCTTTTCATGCACCATGCACCTCTTTGGCCTGGCAAGCATCAGCTACGTCCCGTGCCCATTGGCTGGGAACCTCAGTGACCAGAATCAATCGACTCGATGCACTGAGACGTTATCTGCAAGGTCCCCGCCCGAAGTGGCGACATGTCACACACCACCATTTGTGCGCTGAGCCTGGTGTCAAAGCTCAGGCTTCAATAGCCAGCGATCTTGGAACGGATCTGGGCACGCGACTCACTCACCAAGGCTGGAACTTTGTCTCCGGCCTGTGGCATCGATGGTTAGCCGGCTAACGGTTCTGGCTGCGCAAGATTGCTACGGCCTTGCCCAACTGCAGGTGGAAAGGACTCAGCCCAGGTGCAGCTTCCATGGGGTGCGCGATGCAGTCAATGCAAGAAGGCAAAACGGCACGCAAAGTTGCAGGCATGTTCTTGGACTCGAGGTCAACTGCAACCTGGCCATCACTGCGTTTCTTCACTTGTGTCGCCCCCGCGGACAGAAGCCTCCCTCAGACCCTTCAGGAGGAAGTCGTACCTGACTTCTTTAGTCTCCGGCACACACAGCACACTAATCGCTGGAAACGTTGCATGTAGTTTGCATGTAGTCATGTGAAGTTTACGACTCTCTAAAGGAAAGCTCAGGCTGCATCTGACGCAAAGTTGCATCCAAGAACTTGGGCACGAGGCTGAATACGACCTGGCATCGAGATTGCCACCTTCACTCATGCAGAACGACTGCACGCATTGAGAAGTGCGGAGCCAGGCTGACATGCAGCGGGGCGGACCTGGTCAGTTGCTCAAGCCCATGAGCATGACAAAGACTGCCGCCACGTCCAACAAAAGGGAAGTATGTTGTTCCAGAAAGGCAGCGGCTGCCGAATTGCCAGCCTCAAGCTGCCGTTTCCTACAATGTTTCTACAAGGCGGGCGTGTCCGAGCATTCAGCTTTTGGGCGTAAATCAATGCCCAATTGTCAACTGAACCTGGCAGTAGTTTCACGCACAAACACATCCCCATTTCTGCGTGCTCAGGCAGGAGCGTTGATCCCGCGACATCCAATAAATCACAGGGTCTGTGCTTTCCTGAACAGGTGTGCGTCCCTGCCATGCACAGCACCTCAGCACCACTTTCTTTTTCTTCTGAAGCAATGAACTTGGTGAATGCCAGCACGCTTCGCATCGGCATTCGTAAGCTTGACCGACTTGGTTGTCTTGAGGAGCCCTGGGTTCTACAGCAGGCAAATGTAGATGTAGGGCATGTAGGGATGCCAGCCATACTCCCGCGTAGAGGCTTTTTGCCCAGCTCGCTCTCAATCTCTCTTCTTCCGCACAAGGAAGAGCAGCAGCGCGGAATGAGGGAATGAGGCTGTGGGGTCATCGGGAGGAATGCTGTCCCCGGTGGTCGGTTTGTACGGTAGAGTGCTACTGTCGAGAATTCCCCCCTAACCCTGAACACTAATGCGCATCCCGGCCTCATCCCCGCGCCCTCTGTGGCAAATCCGAGGTTCCGCGACAAAGGCACTTTCCCTCGTATTACCTGTGGATGGCCAACACCTTTCTTAAGGTAAAGCAACTGAGCCCGGGACTACCGATCACATATACAGTGGAATACGAGGGTATGTGTAGCCTCCCCTAAAAGGTTGTGACATCACTGGTACCTGGGTGACCTAGTGTCATCTGGGGCCAAGTTTTCCAACCGAGCTTCAGGTTTCTACCTGAGCCGAGTGTCTCCATCTCTCTCTCTCTCTCTCTCCCGGGTATGAGGGTCGGTCAAGACCCCCGGGCATCAAGCCCACCCGAACGTTGCCGGGTGCGAGTGTCTCCATCTCTCTCTCTCTCTCTCCC